GAGTAATTTCACCTTTTTCCTGCGTGTGATACCAAAGAGATAGGCTGATAAAGGTAACTATATTAAGATGCATTTTTACACTTACCCACACCAAGATGAAACCTCCCAGTACAAATGCGAGGGTGACTATTACCATTACGACAACGAAAGCGCTGCAGAGAGCGTTCCACGTGAAAGTCGGCACTGATGTGTCTATTAAGGATTTGAAATTGAAAGCATGAGATATTTCTAAATATTTTGATGAATATGAAAAGAAAAAAAAAATGAGACCTCTTGCTTGTGTCATTTACCATTTTTTCTTTGCCATGTAATCAGGGGTTTGTTGCAGTTCCAGTTTTCATGATATAGTGAATCTCAATATTCATGAGCCAAACGAGAATACAGCCCTTGGCAGGATTTTAGTGTTGATGGATCAAAGCCAAAAACCTTCAAATCTTTTATGGGTATTGGATGCCGTAACTCTTATTAGGCCATAAATGATGTTAATATGAACGTGGCACTTCGAGCAACGAAATCGTATGAAATTTCCCACCTGCATTGACCAGAGGTAAATCCTTATTTATGGTGGCTAACAAGTGACTTCCATTCTTTTCCCCGAGAGCAACGCCGTAAGCTTCACATCTATAAACTGCGCTGCCGTTACCCGTCAGTTGCACTTGGATGGATGACAATGACGTGAAAGTGTTGTCAACAAGGGAACCTAAAACAGATTTTAAAATTACCACATTAATATCGCAATCAAAAGGGATACTAACTTGCAATAGAAAATAATGAATTTTGTTGCAGCTTTTAAAATTATTACAATTTTATTCATTGCCGATTCATGATTGTACCTTTAATTCAGACCTTTAATTTAATTCATTGAAAAGGGGTATTGCTAAAAGGTCTTCGACGATTATCCTGACACAACTGATTCGCTTTCAGTAACTTAAAATTCTTTACCCGTTCGGTATCAGAGAAGCAATACTCGTGTCAGTATATGTCGAATTGCGCCTGCTAAGTCACATGACCTACAGTGGGTATTAAATATCAACCAACACGGCGTCCACTAAAAGCAAAGTGTTTCATAAGTAACATTTACAAAAAAAAAACCAAAACAAAACAAAACGACGATAGGTACCGTACTCACACCACTGATGTGCCAGGTAAAATAGCGCAAATTGGCTTTATTGTTTCTAAACAACACTCAAAACACATGTTCGTATGGGGTGATACCCACTATAGGTAAGATGATTTAGTGGAGAGCAATCAGTCTATTAATTTTACTCTCCAAGTACAGCGTTATCACAACGCGTAAGGTCATAGACCCTAAATTACAATTAGAAGCTCATGGCCCGAGGACGTGTCATTAATTAAGACTGGTGTCTATTTCGACGTAAGAAACGCAGAGAGTAACACAATCAAGACGCAAACTGCAACCCCATCATTATAGAAACATGCCGGCTACAGGTGTAGCCCACAATGCAAACTAGCCCTCGAACGATCTGCAAAGATTTGAGCCAGGTTTCACTTTTGCCGATTTCCTGCGTCGAGTAGCCGTGGTATTCCCACGCACGCTGGCATGACTGGCTCCACGAGTTTTACCTGTTCTCTCCTCGATGCTTTGATATTACACCCCAATGATCAACTAAATAGTTGACCACCAATGAAAGGCATGAAATTGGAGTACAGGTTTGGTATCATGAAAAGGTAAAGTCAATCTAAACGCACATTTTCTGCGAAAATTCACGAATTTTCGGATGCCACTTCGTTTCAATTTTTTTGGGCGGAATGACGTCATACATTGTCTTTTTCGTTCGTGTCTGTGTTTTACACATCTTGAGGACCGTCCGCGTTACAAACGACGGTAATGGAAACAAGGCTTAACGCACCTGGTTGGAGAGTCAGCAGTTTCGTAGTATGTGCATTTTCAGCATGCTCTATACGACCATCATCATACACTCGGGACCACTGGATGGTAACGGGGGGTTTTGTATAATAAACTGAACACGTTAGGTTGACAGTTGCTGTGTCGTGTGGTATATGAACAGTGCAGGTACCGGCAGGTCCTGACGGGGGTGGATCACACTCGGAAACAACGGGAAACGGCAGCTCTGTAATAACTGCGTGTGGGTTATAAAAATTCAGTCGGGAAAACGTATGGTCAAATAACAAATAAGAACAGCTTTGCACCTGTATGAATATAAGAGTTAGCATCAAAGTTAGTCTACAACTAGACTTTTACCTTGACAAAAATATTCCAACGTAAATACACCTCCGTCGTAAACACCCTCGTTAAGATGTTGGTTTTGGTTTAATTGAAAATTGATTCCAGTGTGCTTCGGGTTTTTTCTACCAACCTTTCACGGCTACCTCCACAGATCCTTGGTACAATTTGCCAACTTTGGGCACAACCAAGAAATAATACATCCCCTCGTTTTCGTCGGCGACGCTCTGGATGATCAGACCGAAGTCGCTACCGATATTGAACAGCCCCTTGGGGATGCCATTAAGCGGAGCGATGGTCCCTTGAAAGTGTGACATGATGGCGTTATCTCTGTCATTGTGACCGAAGTACCAGTACACCCCATCCAGATCCTTCATCGAGTATGCAGGGAGTGCATCAAGGGGGGAAGGTATGATACCACGTCGGCCTCGTTCTAAGAACACCGGTCCATCTTGGAAAAAAAAAGAGTTAAGTTTATTTTTGCCGAATTAATTATAGGTAAGCAGATATGCACTGAAGTTGTTAGATGTAAAGCTAAAGTTTATGGGCGGGGTTGAAGTGAACACTTGGCATAAATATCCGGTATAATTGCAAAAACGTAGTAGCTATACGTCCTACCTGTTCGTATTGACTTTATGTGTACAATTTACCTTACATCTTAATCCTTATTATTGGCATTTAAAGATTAATCGAGGTTCTTTCGTGTTGTCAAGCTAGCGTAAATTTCCATTGTAAGCAGGAGAATGACAGTGATTTCCCCTCAGCCAAACCTTTCTTGTCTGTAAGGCCCAGGGGTGGGGGCCAATAATGAGAGAAAGGAGATTTGTTTTTGTTTATTTCATTTCCCTTCCTTATAAAGCAAAGAAAACAATACCTCATCCGCGACATTGTAGACAAAACGTTTACATAAACAAAGGTACGCCATATTTGATTGTTGAAAAGCTTGCCCACACGTTCATACAGAAATTTGTTTCATACATGCCAGTGCATCTCGTTTAATTTGTTACAGCTCAGTTAGATAGCATCGAAAATGACAAAGCTAGACGACAGTGAACCCCATTATCTTGGCATATTTCGTAAACGAAATTGTGAAGGAAAAATAATTTCTCACCTTTACGAATAATCTCTGCGCTTTTTCGTATAGAGACTACAATGTGACTTCCATTCCTGGCCCCAAGGGCCACGTCGTAGGCTTCACATCTATACCTGGTGTTGTCTTCACCCGTTGTAGGCAAATGGATGGATGACGATGATGTGTAAGTGTTCGCAACAAATGAACCTGCAATGTTGGATGTGATCTCTCCAATGAACTTTGCAATGCTCATAAATGGCCACATTTACAGTGGAATGTGACCTTTAAGGTTTTGTTCAAATCATGTGCAAACCATTTCCACGAACCCGTCCAAACGATTATAAGAAATCTATCTTTCTGAGGGGCCTATTGAATCTTTTCTTTTTCGGATGAATTTCTTCCCAGCACCTGGGATATAACACTTTTGCACCTTCCTTGCCTTTGGATCGTTACCGTGATACCAGCTTGGCAGATTAAAAGGAGTTGACAGGCTCTTTAGCTCTGTGCCATGACAAATTGTTTAAAACATATTGGACTTTATTTGACAGATTGAAAAAAGACGATTTTGTCTCCAGCAAAGTGCACCCAGAGAGCAGCATTAGGAAACAGAAATCAGACTCGGGGACTCGTATGAATTAACTGTATAATTGGTAAATATTGACCCTTGTCCAATTAATGAACCTGACATCATAAAGGGTTGCGCTGATGCAGCCAAGTGTTTTGCAGTTGCAGCTGTCCCCTTCCTTGGGAACAGTAGGAGTAACCCCGGCCCCAGGAAAAGGGGGGCAAGTATTTTTAAATTAACAAATAGAGGAAGACGACTTGTGGTCAGTTTCCTTCTCTTTCTTTCCAGAAGCTTTTAAAATAACAAACAATTGTTCCATCTCTTAGGAAGGCCACAAAAAGATACATAGACTAATTGTGTGTAGGGCCTATGCTTTTTACTCCCACACCTGGATAACCCTTGGCAGCAAAAAGGACGTAGCCGCTTGCTGCCCTCTCTTAACA